CTGATCCAGCTACTCAAGGGCCAGGAGTTTGGCTTTGGCTTGGTTTCCATTCAGTTTTTGTTAGTCAGGAGACACCTGGTTTGGGAGGAGCCCCTGCTGCCCTGCTCACTGTAGTACAGCAAAAGGTTGTGTTTTGCTCAGTGTGGTACAACAGAAGGGGCTGGATTTGTTGTGACTGGCAAGTGGCCCAAACCTGACTCTTCTGCTTGGGACAGTGGGTGCAGACTGCTTTTAATATACCATGAAAGAGTGAGCTTTGGCACCTCTGCTTGAAAAGGGAGGAAGAAAGAGGCAAACTCAGTTTTACAGTATACACAATTTTAATACCAAAATGCTTCTGTACACTGCACTTGTTTTACTCCATTACTTACACCCCCTCACACCAGAACTTGGCTCTTGAAACATAATTTAAACACAATGCATCTAGGACTCTCTGTAATCGTGGGTTGCTAAGCTGGTAGAATAGTTCACTTACTAGTGTTTTCATTAGTAAAAAATAAAATGGGGGTGAGTTTTGTTTGGCTTTTTACAAAGGAGTAGTTGGGAGATGGCAGGTGTACCTTCTTGGTGCTTACACAGGGGTGTACAATGCTGTTTCACCCCATCTGAGGCCTGACTATACTCCTCAAAGCTTCTGGTACCTTTCCCTAGATGCCTCTCAGAAGATTTTTACACAAGATGTGAAATGCTGAATTTCCAGCTGATTCTGAAATTATCTCTAAGCATCTTGCTATCGTGGTGCCTTAAAAAGCAAAGCCAGCACCAATTTTAGCATCTGGGACATTTGCAGTGGAGGAAGGTGTGGGGAGGGAGGAGCTGCTGCCTTTGGTTTCTGTTGTCTCCTTGCTTATTCCTTTTGGGGGGGAGGAGAAATACTGTATCCCCCTCTGAACTTGTTTAATTTTTATGGAAAACTTCATAAGAAAGATGAAAATCAGCTCCTGGGTAAGTTTCATACATCTGAACAGATGGATTTTGATAGCTACACAGATCACAAAATTAAATCAACTTTATTTCCATTAAAGTAATACAGAAATTATCTTAGACACATTAAAAATAAATGTGTAGTGCAGATTTCTGGTTTAAAGCCATGGGATGTTTCTGATTTTACAGGGTAGCAATAGGCTCCTGTCTTGTAAGGAGGTAATGGGACAGAAGCTCAGATTTGCATGTGGCTGATCACTGAAAAATCGGATCATTTCTGCTTGGGGGAGAAACAAACAAAACCAAACACTGATGGAGCAGCATTCATTATGTTTTCATCTGATAAGGAAAGGGAGCTCAGTGCAGAAGAGCACTTCAGCTGGAGACTGAACACTCACCCATTTCACCCTTCATCGAGTCATTTTTACTTGTGTGCGTTTAAACACTGATCTAATGCAGAGAGACTAACTGGGAGCATTAATTCAGCCTGTTCCAGGAGAATGACTCAAAAGCTGAACTTGTGCTGCTGGGTTTTCATTTCACTGAAACGAGGATGAGGAGCAGGGGAAGCTGCCTGGATATCAGTAAGGATGGAGGAGATCTTTGGATAGTCCAAGGGCAGCGCAAGAAATTCTGTTTCTAAAAGACCCAAAGACCTCTGAGGTTGTGCCTGGAGGTGTTGAAGCAACTGTAAGCAGTGTAGTATCTGTACAAACTGAGGCTGTGCAGCAGAGATGCTGTTTGGGGAGGGCAGGTTAACAAGCTCCTGTCATCAGCCAGTGCTTGTACTGAAATACAATTAATTTAAACCAAATCATCATGGTTCTTGTTCCATCAACAAAATAAATCAGGGACTGCTGAGTAGCACAATTATTTCAATCCCCTCCTTGCCTGGAAGAGTCACAAGCAATTGCGAATGGAAGACAGTAACTTTAAAATAAAAAATATGAACAGCCTCTGGCTGTGTCCTTGTGCAGAGAGTGGCTCTGCCTGGTGCTCGCTGTCCCTCCGCAGGGAATTCACATTGACTTCACTGCTGCTGTTTGACATTCTGTGAATTTTATGATACCTGTTACCCTAAATGTAATGTTTGCTGAATTGCTTTGCTTATGCCTGGAACCTGGCAACAAATGGGTTTGGAAATAGCAGACGTAAACCACAGCATTTGGGAGACTGGCTGTGGATTAGTGTGAAGTATGGAGAGGGAACGGTGCTGGGCTTCCTTGCTGGCCTCCTGCTCTGCTGTCTGCAAGCCAAGCACCTCAGGACAAATGGAACCTTCGGTGGGTTTGCCTGGAGGGGCACTGGAATGGTGCTTTAATGCTTGGAAAATCACTGTGAGTGGCAGGGATGGAGAAGAGGGTTGAATGCAGCATTGCTGGAGCATCTGTCTTTGCTCTTCTTGGGTGGAATTAAAAGATCACAGAGATGGAGTAGTACAGGGCTGGGCTGTTAGGAAAGCAGCTCCTGGAGGAACCTCAGCTCCTCCTCAAGCAGCCTCTTCTTTTTCCTGTGTGGAAGACTGAGGTGGTACCCCTTGAACTGTCTGGGTGTCTGGGATTGCTTCCTGCAAACACAGCTGAGGCTGTCAGGGTTCAGTGGTGACATCTGATTGGGGACGGCAGCTCAGCCAGATTATTTGGTTGCCAGGATAATTAACAAGGTCAGTGATAACTTTGCACTGGTACCGTGCAGCTGTAGGTGGAAGTCATCCCCAAGTGCCTCCTCTCCAGGCTCCTAGAGCTGGCCAGTGCCAGCCAGTGCAGGGGGAGGGACAGTGATGCCCACTCAGTGCTCATCTGCTCCTAGAGCAGCATCCTGGGCTTTGGGAGAGCTGTGAGCGCTTAGTTATGGGAAGGAGCAAAGCAAATCTTCCTACAGTCAGCTAAATACCCCTGGGACCAATATGGGTTTGTGTTTCTCAGTTTAGCTCTGGCCTTCTGTCTCATGTGGGATTTAATAATCCAGAATATCTGCTCTTTGTCCACCCACCCTGCAGGATTTTTAGTAGTCAGTTAAAAACAGTAATTAATTTCCCAGAACAGGTATAAATGGACTCATCTTAGTATTAACAGTACCAAGAGTTCAAAGATATCCCTATGGAAATCCATTAGGCTTCACTGGATCATCTCTTCCATTAAGTACAAAGTCAAGAGAAGTAAACAAAATACTGGTTTTATGTTAAGGGCACTGTACGTAGAAGTAAAATGATGCAAATTAGTTCCTCAAAATCAGCAATTGAAAAACCTTTATGTAAAATCTTAAGAGAAGTTACTTATCTTGCTATAATTGCCTTGGATGTGTTCATCTCACAAGAAAACATCAAACTGTTGTATAATTGCACCCTAAATACTTCACTAAGTGGTAATACAGAGAGAAAAGCAGAGTGAAATAGCAAACAGATTTTTGTGCAGTGGTTTTTCTGTTTAAAAAGTTTGCAGGATAGTTTAGTACATCACAATTAGCATACTGTAATTATGATTTGGTCAAAGTATGGCAACACTGTGAGGAATTTTCTTTCTTCATCGGGGTGTGCTGGTAATTGTTTAACACTGCAGCATTGGACACAACACATTTTTTAGTTATACATACATGTATATATATATATAAAATAATTCTCCATCCCTCTGAATCTTTTAGCTTTGGTTAGAATGTGTACAATATTTGAGCAGTTGACTTAAAAATAATGTAATCCTTTGCAGACCCCCCACCCCCCCACCCTCGTGGCATCTGAGTACCACCATCACTGCATAGATCTGCAAATATTTACATATAATTCCATAATAGAGTATAAATAGCAATATGGTACTTCTGGCTAAAGAAATCAAATTACCTCTTAGAATGAGGTGTGTGTGTATATATATTTATATATGATTTTTTAAAAAGTCATACTAGTTTAGATTCTGTCCCATATTGAGTAAGAAATAAAATATTTTTCAGTGAACTATCCTATAAACTAATCATATTCTCCTAAATTATCAGAAGGGGTCTTTTTTTATCTTGAATTTTGGAAGAGGAGGACAAGTGAGAGCTTATATTACAGGGGCTAATTCTGTCTCCAGAGAAACCAGTGGAGTTAGTGCATGAAAATAGCTTCCCAGCCAGAGGAAGCCTCAGCTGGGGGGGCACCAGGGGGACAAAGAGAGGCTTCTTCCTTCCTTCCTTTCTTCCTTCCCTCTTCTCCTTAACCTTGCTGTTGATATTTGCTTTTAATTAAGAGAACCTTGCATTAAGGGTATTTACACATGAAAAGGTGCTGAAATGCTGTTTGTTCATCATCATTAAGTAATTAGCCTGAATTCATGAAAAGCATCATCAAGTGAAACCAGGGAGTCGAGGACTGAATGTACTTAATATTTTCAATCGATCTCAGCGTGCTGAGCCTCTCTAAAGAAGCTGCAGTGCCAATCTGGGTTCACAGAAAGGGCTGTCCTGCTCCTGGGGGGGGGGGGGGGGGGGGGGGGGGGTGTGTGTGTGTGTGCCCATCCTGTTCCTGTGTGTGTGCCCATCCTGCCTGGAGCTCTGTGTGTGTGTGTGCCCATCCTGCCTGGAGCTCTGTGTGTGTGTGTGCCCATCCTGCCTGGAGCTCTGTGTGTGTGTGTCCCCATCCTGCCTGGAGCTCTGTGTGTGTGTGTCCCCATCCTGCTTGGGGCTGTGTTTGTACCCATCCTGCTCTTGTGTGTGTGTGTGTGTGCCCATCCTGTTCCTGGAGGTGTACCCATCCTGCTTGGGACTGTGTGTCTGCCTGTCCTGCCTGGAACTCTGTGTGTGTGCATGCTTGTGTATGCACCCATCCTGCCGGGGCTGTGTGCCCATTCTGCTCTTGAGTGTGTGTGTGTGCCCATCCTACCTAGGGCTGTGTGGCCCTGTGTTTGTGCACATCCTGTCTGGGGCTGTGTGTCCCTGTGTGTGCTGTGTGAACTGCTCCTTTCTGTGCCTGCCATCCCTTTTAGCAAGCCGAGCCATGAACATGCACAGAGCAAAACAGTATTTCAGATAAATTCACCCCAATGCACTGAAATTCCCACCTGGACCTTTGTTCCTCTTTATTTTTTTTTTCCCTTTTGTTTTCCCTACCTTCCCTTACTGGAGTGAAATGCTCAGAGGAGGAAAATCTTCCTCCCGGGCTGCTCTTAAAGTGCCCGGAGCCAGCTGCAGTGTTTGGGATCCTCCAGCTGCAGTGGAACAAATGGAGCGCACGTCCCCCACAGATCCCTGCACAGATATCCAGTCTCCTTCCCATAAAACTGATTGCAGTAGAAAAAGTAGAATATGGAGACCCAGGTATAAATGTTTACACACAGTCATATAATTACATAACATTAAACATTTTACATTGTTTGAGGTGAGCATCTCTTTAGACTTTTAAACATTAGGAGTGCAAGTTGAATGTAATCATTGCTTCTTTAACACTGAAAATATTATGGATTTATTTTTTAAAAAACTTAAAAATACTGCACCACTCCATAAACAATGTTTCCATTAAGTAGCTTGGAAAATTAGGCTTTATGTCAACATTTGTAAAAATTAGAATCTGATGTAGGTCCCTACAATTTTCAAGTAGGTTACTTATCTGATTTACTTTGTGATGGGCTGTAGGTATTATACTTCACATTCTTTATAGGGCAGCTGCTGGCACTTGCACTGTCCGTAGCCATTGATGATGATGAAGGGTCCTTCGTGGGTGGGTTCGTACTCGTTATAGGGTCCTTGGTCTGACATATTGGCCATATGCAGCCGCGTTTGGGATCGGAGCTGCCTGTGGTTTTGAATCATTGAGCACTGCCTAATTCTTCTTAGTGTGGGAGGGCAGCACTTCCTGGAGATGAACACTATAAAAATGATAAAAAAGAAAGAAAACAATAAAGCCATTGTTCCTGTAATTACCCTCTGAGTGAAGATGGCATTGTTTGGCTCGGGGAACTGTTCTTCAGTGGTAACGACCATGCCTGCTGTAGTTGGAATCTCTTTGTCTCCCACATGGAAATGAGAAGAGCTTATTCTTTTCGTGTACTCGGTAGTTGGAGCTGTGTACGACGTCGTAGCCACGGGGGTAACCACAGTCGATAAATTCCAGCAAAGCTGAAAACCATACACTGCATCCAGAATATCCTCTCCCTGGGTGTGGTCGGGGCTGTGGCAGAGGATGGAGTGCTCCCACCGACCTTGGAAGCCACTCAACCATGTGGCCAAGGAGCAGATCTTTGGGCTGCATTCCCACAGATTGCCAGAGAGGCCCACGGTGGTGAGGGACGTCAGCGAGCTCAGGATCTTGGAATCCAGAGTGGTGAGCTTGTTGTTATCCATGAGGAGGGTTTTAAGGTTAGGCATAGTTTCAAAGACGGTGAGGTCGATGGCTTTGATTTCGTTTCCAGTCAAATCGAGCTTTGCTAAGGTGCCCCAGGTCCACTCCATCCCACATGTCAAGTTGCTAATTTTGTTCCACTGCAAGAAGAGTGTGTGCAGGCTGCTCAGCCGGAGGAAGTGAGCAAAATTAATCTTTGTCAGCTGGTTGTGCTCTAGGTGCAGCTCCCTCAGCTTGATTAATCCCGCAAATCCATTGCGAGCCAAACTTCTTAAGCGGTTTGTGCTCAAATCCAGGAATTCCAGGCTACGACAGTCCCAGAACAGGCGGACCGGGATGGTCCGCAGGGAGTTGGATCGCAAGTGCAAGGTCTGTAGCTTGCGAAGGCCGTAGAAGAGCTCGGGGTGCAGAGAGGATAACTGATTAAAAGAGAGGTCCAAATTCTGCAGGTTAAGCAGCTGGCTAAAAGTTGTGTTTGGCAAATGAAAGATTTTGTTGGAACTTAAGACTAATTCCTTAAGTTTATACAGTCCTTGAAAAGAATCTTCTCTGACTGTTGCAATTTGATTATGATCTAAGTGAAGCCAAGTAAGTTGACTGAAGCTTGCAAATTGATCCCTTTCAAGTTCAGAAATATAATTGTGCCTCAGTGACAAACCTAGCGAGCCCTTTTCAGTGGTGTTTGGCACTGAGTGAAACCCCTGAGAGTCACAGTAAAAGAGCAGCTTCTCACAGCGACATTTTGGTGGACAAGCCATGCCCAAGGCAGGCAGCATTTTTAAAACCATACTCATTGCATATAGTGCTGCCAGCATACGAGCCCCTAATGGCCACTTGAAATGTAAGCCTGCAGAATATAATTTAGGAAAACAACAAGATAGGATAGCCTTATCAGTACACTTGGAATATCACAGTGGAAGATTTCACTGCAGATAACATTGCCATGCATTTCCAACAAGCTAATTCTAAATGCAAGAAACAACTTACTACAACAAACCGAATACTTGGACATTATTACACTTAGGAGGAGGCTTTATCTCGATTACGGAGGGCACTATCGGAAAACATTTTTTTCATAAGGTTCAGTGCTGAGGAATCAGCTTTAGCATCTTAACTGCTCCTTTAAAGCAGAGCTGTCATTCATTATACAAGGAACAGAGAAACGCAGGAACTTACCCATTCTTTTGAGTACATTGGAGGGTGCATTCAGTCGTAGTTTGAGACTCAACGCCGTGAGTCTGTGAAAGGCTCTAATGTAAGATAGCCTTGAATAATTGACTGGGTTTAGTGTCCTTTGATATTAGTGCAAAATCCACGATGCTCTCTTGGAATATTCCTTTTGAAATTGCTGCCTTGATCTCCTCTGACAGGTCTGCAATTTTTAAATCTTAATACAAGTTTTCGTCCTCTGTGGCTGCTCAGCTGGTTAATTGAAGCTCACGTTTTCCTTTTCCGCAGCTGTGGCTTCCTTTAGTCCTAACTTGTTGATGGCAGATGGGTGGCTTATTGCTGAGAGAAGCTCCTGTAGTAGCATGAGTGCATTTACTGAAAAGCTTTTCAGGGAAGCGGTACAAGAATGGATTTGCTTATGCGCTGCGACCACACAGGGCTCTATATAGGCTGACGTCACCTGGTGACGTTCCTTTTGTTTGGGTTTTCCAGAAGCTTTGCTGTTTTAAAGCATTGTGCTGCACGCTGTGATCGTGTTAGAGACCACTGATAGAGGGGGAAAATCCAGCGGCAGGAGTCCTTCGTCCCCAGGACAGACGGCGCAGGAGGGACTCGCAGCACCCTGCTCCCCCCACATCTGCGCCGGCTCTGCTCAGCTGGGGTTAAAAGCAGCGCAGAGCCGCGGATGGAAGTGCCCGAGTGCTGTCTGCTCCCACTTTTCTGCTAAATCTCCCTGCATGAAAGAACTTTGAGCTGCAAAATGCGCAGAGTTTGAATAGAGGATGCTGGTCAGCACTGGCTTTCATGGAGGTGAGAGAGACTGGGCAGCTCAGAGCTCCGTGTGACAGCTGTGTGTGACTGTGGTTCCTGCAGAAGTGCAGAGAGCAGTGGTGGAGCTGGAGTGTCAGGAAGTACAGCCCAGGAGCAGGGCACAGGAGCAAGTGCTTCAAGCCAGGAGAAATTTCTGGAAAAAGCAAAGGTTGCGTTAAGGCACAGGAAAAATTTAATTGGAATCCAGCTTGACAGTGTGTGGTTATGAAACTAGAAAATCTATTTTCTCCTCCCAAACGGTGGGTTTTATACTTGCTTTTTCCTGGGCGCTGGAGTGCAGGGCAGAAATGATGAGATTGGTATTTCCAGTCAGGGCTCAGAGCTGTGCGAGGGCTTCCTTGTGGTCACCCACAATGTCCTGCTGCTGTGTGTCCCCCTTAGAGGGGGGGACAGCACCTCCAGGAGCCCCTGGCTGCAGGATGGGTCTGTAACAGTTACCCTGGGGGTTTAGGGCTGCAGATGTGCCCCTGCAGAGTGTGTGTGCTCTCCAGCCCCACTGGGCTCTGGCCAGAGCATGCACACACAGCCAGGAGGACAGCAGGCTCTTAGGGCTGTTTCCTTGCTTTAAAGGTTCATTGCCCCATTTTTCAGAGCAACTTCTCCTCTGGGACAACTGGTACTGAAAGGTAAATGACCAGGTTCAATTGACATTTTTATATGTTTTTAAGATGCACGTGCAGGTAAAGCCTTTGGAGCCACTGCTCTGGTCATAGTTCGATGTGGGTGCAGCAGGAGGGTGCTGGTTTCCTGTTCCAGGCAACTTGGATAAGCTTTTTTTTAATTTTCTCCGTCAGATATAAAGCAATAATGTAGAGGAGGCATTTGAAAATGTTTGTTGTGTAGCAGTGAGGTATCACCTCTAACCTCCAAGGTCTGGAATGAACTGAGAATAACAAATTTCCCATGATGATGGAGTAAGATGAATTGTGTCAAAAGAAGGGTTTAAAATAAAATGGCTGTTTACCTTTGTTACTAAGTGTTGGTTCCTTGCTTTGGTTCCTTGGAGATCCTTGCTTAAACCAAGACCTGCTGTTCTCTGCCTGCTTCTCCTTTGGCTGTCCTGTGGTGGAATGGTGACACTGCCTGTGCTGCTTCCTTACTGGGATGGGCAGACTCAAGGGGATTACTGAGTGGAAAGTGAAGGGATGGAGAACATGAACGCACAAGAATAAAATTTCAAAAACCTCAAAAAACACTAAAGCAAAACAAATAAACCCTACTCTGAACCCATCAGGAAAGTAACTGTCTTTATTAAGCAAATTAGGAAATGTTAGATAAATTTCTTAAATTGCTCTGCCATAGTAAATGTTTTCACATTTGCTTCAGTGTGAAAGAAATCCATGCAAAGAAATTACGTAAACCTATTTAAAGAGATTCTTCTTGTCTGTGTTCAGGGTACAAAGAGCTCAGGCTCAGCTCCAGTTGTCCAACAGAACCGTGGCTCTGCAGCACCTGTGGAGGCTTCTTGGAGCAGCTCTGTGCAACACCCTGATCCAGGATGTTGATTTGAATTCTAATAACATTTCAATATATTACATAACATTTACCAACAGCATTCCAAAGGGTATAGTTTAAGGACAACTGTTTAAGGTCAACTGTTAGCCCTCCCCACTGCTGCCTCTTTCCCTCTTACCAGGAGGCTGACATTAGGTATCGTTGGAAACATTTTGCTTTTTTGCATCAATATCTGCTGGTAGGTTCCTCCCACATTAAGATTGTGTAATTTGGCACAGAGTTAAGAGTTAATGTTCAAATACGGTGAGTTGCTCCTTTTCTGAAGCTCTCCATTCTTTGGCCCTTAACCAAACAAGGGCTATTTAGCACCTTGCCAGCGAGTTTCCTGTTTAGGAAACTGTTAACACAAACTTTATGGGCGCTTTTCTTAGCAAAACATGTTTTTATGTGCACTTGCTGTGAAATAACAGTTATTACCACAGGTGTGCATCTCAGTCTCCAAAGTCTGGAACACTGCAGTAACATTCACATTGTTCCTTGGGAGCTACCTGGGGTGTCAGGGTGCAACAGACTGGGAATAAAACCCCCAAAACTCATGCAAATGCATTTCTTCTGAGCCTGAATACTCATTGCCCAGCATGAAAAACCATATCTGATGCTACCCGCGCGCTTCGGCCACAGCAGGAACTTTATGGCAGCCTGAACCCTCATATGCAATGTGGACAGGGAACTTGGCAGGAATAAGCTTACTGGGACCAGATAACCCTTTTGAGGGCTTCTCACCTACCCCGCTCATGGAGCAGCAGCACAACTGGTTTTCCTGCTAAACCCATGTGCTGGGAAAGTAGAATTGCACCCTGAGGCGAGCGTTGTCATTTAGTTAGGCTGACATCTTGTGGAAGCCTTCCTAGTCTATTAAGAACAACATACAAGCTAATTTTTCTGGATGGAGATGTGGGGCCTGCGTGACTTTGCTGTGCTGGGAGCCTGGAGGGTGCAAGCCCGGGAGCTGCACTGAGACTGCAGCAGGCAGGACAGGCAGCCACGTGTGTGGCACTGCACAGCAGCCAGCTCACCTTTCTGCCTGCAGGAGTGGCCGTGGGAATTGTTGCTGGGTGTTAGCACCCTGGGGACCATGGGAGGATTTGCAGCTTTTTGGCCAGGAGGTTGTGTTTGTGCTGTGTCACAGAGCTGTGAGGCAGGAGGTGAGCAGGGCCGTGTGGCTGTGTCACCATGCACCTTCTGTCACTTGGATTCACTGCCCTAGGAGGGGATACCTGGGACAAAGGCATGTTGGAGGTGACCCAGCAGCAGAGTTGTGCCCAGGGCTTCAGGCCAGCTGCAGAGTCCTTTGGGGCAGGGCAGTGGGAGGGATGGGCACTGAGGGTTGGGTGTCCTTGTCTTCATGGGACCAAAGGGCACATGTGGTGGCATAGCATGTGGTGGCTGTCACCTCCCTGTCTGGCAGCTCTCTGCACCTGGCACTGCTCGTAATTCCTCCTTGAGGCAGGGTGAGTACAGGAGCCACCCTTCCCTGGCCATGGGGAGTGATGTCAGGGTGGCAGTGCTGTGGCATGGCCCGCTGGGCAGGGGGGCAGTGCAGCAGCTTTATTGTGACTCAGGTTCTTGCTGAAGCCTGGATGATGCCATGCAGCCCATTTGCTCTGCTGAGCTGTGGGCTGGCTGTAGAGAGCTCCTCCTGCAGCAAACCAGGGCACAGTCCTGCTTCCTCCTAGCACACCTTGGATGTGAAAACACTGCTGGAATTCGTGTGGGTCACGCCTCAGTGCTCACACTGCCTGGCCTTGAATCAGCCCTGTTCTAGCTGGAGTTGGTTGGCAGCCGTGCTGTCACAGTGATGGAGGGCGGTGCATGGTTATCCTCTGTAGACACAGAATTAGGCTGGGTGGCAAGGAAAACCAAGCATGGGACAAAATGCACCCGAGCCCTGATGTCCTGTGTCCCCTGGCAGCAGAGCTCGGAGGTGGCACAGTGACACACTGTGACTCACAGTGACACACTGCCTGCACACAGGAAGGTGTGCCGAGCACTCACTTCTAACTTATTCAGTCCCAGTCATTAATCAGTATGCTGCCTGTTGTACTGACAGCCCAGAAGTCAATTCCCAGACACCTGAAGCAGAAACCTCTCTGCCAACCGTCCTTTTTGGTGGTTGTGTGAGGGGTGGCAGGTGGGACAGTGGTGGTTCTCAGCAGTGGCACATCTGGCTTACATCTGGGTGCTGATTTGGGGAGGGGGCATGGTGGGCTCTGCAGGGATGGTGTAAATTGGTGCTGAGCAGGAGGCAGTCTCCCTCAATACCTCTGTGGGCTCAGCTTAACCCAAACTGATGATAAACCTTTAAGATTAACAGCAGATGTTTGTGATATTTAGCTACAAGAACATATATTTGAGTAGCTGGTTACAGCACATGCTCTGTTGATCCTGGTGGAATGCACCACCACCACCATGCTCCTGTACCTCTATAAATCAGCTGGGATTGGATTTTAACCTCCATAGCTATAGGAAAAGCTTGGGTTTATCTTTTGCTTGTCTGAATTCAGATGGCACACCTACAGCAGGAAGGCTTTAAGACAGAAATGGTGATTCTGCTCCCCTCCCTGTGTACAAATCCCCTTTCTTTGCTTTGAGCATTAAGAGTCCCCTCTGGGGATGATGGTGTGAGCTGGGACTGCAGGGATGTGACAGGGAATGCTTGTGGTGCTCTGCAAGCAGGGTAGCAATGGTGGGGGAAGAGCAGAGATGAAGGGATTGGGAGAAATGAGTGATTTTTAACATCAATTCTATCCTCTTTGATAAAGATCAGATTTAATTTAAAGTAAATTTGCACCGTGGCTAAATTTATTATCCATGATACTGGTAGAGTTGGGATATCGTACTGCAGAATGATTGAATGGTCATCATGACCCTATTAAATCTACTGAATCTATTAGCTACTCACTGGCTGCAGGGTTTGTGATTCCCTCAGCAGAGTTTTGTGCTGAATATCTAAAAATCCTATTAGAAATCTGAATATTTGGGCTTCACTCTTGTGAGTCCTCCTAATCCCATGAATAGCAGGAGCTGCTGGCTGGGCTGCCTTGTGCTGCTGGGTCATTAGCTAGCTCCTCAGTGAAGGTTCACACTAGACATGAGGACCACTT